CCTGGCGGCCAGGAATCATTATAGTCGATAGTAGTTAGGAGCGTAAGGGATGCCTGGAGGTTTGACTCAACCGCTGAAAAAATAACTAGGTGAAAACATTATACATACATACAACAGGTACGTATGTTAGTGTTCACTTCATTATCATGTGTAACAGCAGCCTTGCGTGTCGGGTCGTCGCCGACATATCCTTCACTGGAGCCTCTTGCAAGTCTGATGAACTAGATCTATTTAAATAAGGGGCCGATGAGGAAGCGCTTTTATGTTACTTCTCATCACTTCCTTCTTGGGAAATTTTTCAGTTGGCGAGAAGCTTAGGTATACCAGCGTGGGTATTTACATATCTTCCAGATTCCGGGTCTAGTTTATGGATCTTCAGGGTTCATTAGCTATGTTTAGCACCAGTGACTGGCCGCCATGTAATTAATTCTGGTGTTTGAGCGATGTCATCAGCAACAATGCTTGCTGCTGAAAGTAGTGAGGGACAACGTGCAGTATACTATATGATGTCAAGTTGATGCATGAATATTACAACAGTAACCTCTTGCAAATGTTACTTATACAATATTAAGTTGACAGCAAAATACTGTACAGTTGTATGAATCTAAAAGCCACAGACCCCCATAATTTGTCTTTATGTCTGGGTCTCTTGTTATTATTCTGGTGCCTCGCCTGTACAGTGGTACTGAGTATAGGTCATCACGATTGCAGAGGCGTGTAACTGATGCCCACTTAATATTAATATTATGTATTATCACGACAAGATAAAGATAGGAGATATAGGTGATAACGATGTACAGTAGTGGGAGCGTGATGGGTATTTTGGTGGAGTTGTGCCGCCTGAGGTTATGAAGTACAAGACTCATACTTGTCGCGTGATCACACACCAGTGATCCTGTCTCGAGTGTTTCCCTAAGCTCATAACACGATCAGCTGCACCCTTGCACACTTCATTATTAATGAATTATTTCTGTCTTGCAGTAAATAATATTTATGAAATTACCGAAAAATGGTTTCCTTAGAAACCTTTGATAGTATATCTACTCTGCCACAGACCCAGACTTGCGCCACTGAACAGTCATCATGAACTGAAAAAGAAACATGCCTTCAGGATCCTGTGGAGACGGAATCTGGACCCAGTCATTAAAAGCCACAAATATAGCTCCACTCCATAAAGGAGGCGGTAGAAAAAGAGTTTTAAAAAGCAAGATTGCTAAACACATGTTCACGACATTTGCACAATGCCCATGGACGGTGGCATTATGAGACATGCATTTATGTATATGTTGATAAATTTCAAGCTGGGCAGCGGGACTAGAACCACCCTTGAAACCACTCACAGTTATGTCACAGGAAGTGTCAGTATGTGATATAATCAAACCATTATTGACAAATACTTGAAGTCAGTATCATTGCTTTGTATCACACAATCTCTTCAGCTTCGTTGACCTCGCCTTCCACCAACGCTGATGTCTCTAGGAGTATCATTCATCCCTGTAATCGACTGATGAAGCCTGCAGCGCAGTTGAAACGTTTCTTCAATGAAGATTCCCAGTGTTACGCGCGTCTTATTTATCAGTTTGTCTGTCGGGTATGCCATTGATAATATGAATGATGATAGTGGCATTATCAAGGTGTTTACAATGTACTCTACTGCACATTATGTATAAACTCTTCTGGAGAATGTGTTTAGCTAGGGATAGTAGAGGGCAACGAGTGACTAGCTCCCTTAAGGTTTACTATACAAATAGTAGGAGTCTAAGAAATAAGATAGATGAGCTAAGATTACTTGCAAGTGTAGGTAATATAGATATTATTGGTATAACAGAGACCTGGTTCAACTTGAAAGATAGAGAAATGCCTTCTGAATGCAACATACAGGGTTATAAACTATTCCACACTGATAGGGTCAGCAGGAAGGGTGGTGTGTGGCGATGTATGTCAGAGAAAATTTAAATTGTTGTCTTAGACATGATATAAGATTAGAAACATCGAACACAGAGTCTGGCTACAGTTTCTCGAGGGACATGACAAATTAATTTTGGGTGTGACTTATAGGCCGCCAAACCTTGATAGGGAGGGCAGTAAGCTGTTATGGGACGAAATTCGTAAGGCATCTAGATATGAAAATGTTGTGATAATGGGAGATTTTAACTTTAGACAAATTGATTGGAACAATATGACAGGAAATCTTGAGTCTAGTGACTTTCTTGATACGGTTCAGGATTGCTTTTTAGAACAGGTTGTGACAGAACCAAGTAGAGGAAACAATCTGCTTGACTTGGTTCTTGCCAACAAAGATTCACTAATTAATAATCTTGAGGTTAATGATGAGCTTGGGGAAAGTGATCAAAAATCACTTAGTTTTAATATATCATGGAATTACCCAGATAACTGCAATCAAATCTCTGTCCCAGATTTTCGCTTGGCCGACTTCATGGGACTGAAAAATTACCTGGGTGGGCTAAATTGGGATGTCCTGACTATGGGTCAGGTAGGTGATCTTGGTTGCCAATATGACGTTTTTCAGAGCATAGTTCTAACTGCCCAGACAACTTTTGTTCCGAGTAGGGAAATTAGATCTAACAAAAATGATCCCAAATGGATGAACAATAGATTAAAACATCTCATTGGTCAAAAGAGAGGCATATATAGGCGTATCAAAAGAGGGGATGGGCAGTTAAGAAATCAATATATTCAATTATAGAGAGAAATAAAGAAAGGAATAAGAAAAACAAAAAGGGATTATGAGGCTATAGTCGCAAGGGATTCAAAGACTAACCCAAAAGGGTTCTTTCAGGTATACAGAAGTAAGATTAGGGACAAGATTGGCCCACATAAGAGTAACTCTGGTCAGATCACTGACAGTGATAAGGATGTGTGTGAAATTCTAAATACCTACTTCCTCTCAGTTTTCACCCGGGAAAATACTAGCGATATTCCTGAAATAATAGATTATGTAGAACAGGATGATAATAAACTATGTACGATTGCGGTAACTAGTGATATGGTCCTCAGACACATAGAGAAACTAAAACCTAACAAATCCCCAGGTCCTGATGAACTGTTTGCAAGGGTGTTAAAGGAATGTAAAGAGGAACTTAGCATACCTTTGGCTAATCTTTTTAACATATCACTACAAACTGGCATAGTGCCTGATAAGTGGAAAATGGCAAATGTAATAGCTATTTACAAGGCAGGTGACAGGTCCTTGGCTTCGAACTATAGACCAATAAGCCTTACCTCCATAGTGGGAAAATTTATGGAATCAATAATTGCCGAAGCAATTCGTAGCCATCTTGACAAGCACAGATTGATTAATGAATCTCAACACGGTTTTACAAAAGGGCGTTCCTGTCTTACGAATTTACTAACTTTTTTCACTAAGGTGTTTGAGGAGGTAGATCATGGTATTGAATATGATATTGTGTATATGGACTTCAGTAAGGCTTTCGATAGAGTTCCACACCAGAGGCTGTTGAGAAAACTTAAGGCACACGGCATAGGAGGAGAATTTTTTTCCTGGGTAGAGGCATGGCTGACAAATAGACAGCAGAGAGTTTGCATAAATGGGGAGAAATCAGAATGGGGCACGTCACAAGCGGTGTTCCTCAGGGGTCAGTGTTGGGCCCGTTGTTGTTCACAATTTACATAAACGACGTAGATGAGGGAATAAATAGCGACATAAGCAAATTTGCTGATGACACCAAAATAGGTCGTCCAATTCATTCTAATGAGGACACTAGAGCACTCCAGGATGATTTGATTATACTGATGCAATGGTCGGAGAAGTGGCAGATGCAGTTTAATATTGACAAATGCAAAGTTCTAAATGTTGGACAGGTAAATAACCATGCCGCATATAAACTAAATAATGTAGATCTTAATACTACTGATTGCGAAAAGGATTTAGGAGTTCTGGTTAGCAGTAATCTAAAATCAAGACAACAGCGCATTAGTGTTCGCAGTAAAGCTAACAGAATTCTTGGCTTCATATCTAGAAGTATAAATAATAGAAGTCCTCAGGTTGTTCTTCAACTCTCTATATCCTTGGTTAGGCCTCATTTAGACTATGCTGCTCAGTTCTGGTCACCGTATTACAGAATGGATATAAATGCTCTGGAAAACATACAGAGGAGGATGACAAAGATGATCCCATGTATCAGAAATCTTCCCTATGAGGATAGACTGAGGGCCCTGAATCTGCACTCTCTCGAAAGGCGTAGAATTAGGGGGGATATGATCGACGTGTATAAATGGAAAACAGGAATAAATAAAGGGGATGTAAATAGCGTGCTGAAAATTTCCAGCCAAGACAGGACTCGCAGCAATGGTTTCAAGTTGGAAAAATTCAGATTCAGAAAGGATATAGGAAAGCACTGGTTTGGTAATAGAGTTGTGGATGAGTGGAACAAACTCCCGAGTACAGTTATTCAGGCTAAAACGTTGTGTAGTTTTAAAAATAGGTTAGATAAATACATGAGTGGGTGTGAGTTGGACCTGACTAGCTTGTGCTGCTGGGTCTGGAGCCGTGCTCCATCATTGAGTGGAGATGATCAGACTGGGTGGGTCATTGGGATAATCCGGGGGGGGGGGACATGGACCTGCTCCGCATTGGTCAGTAGGCCTGTCGCAGTGTTCCTTCTTATGTTCTTATTGTTTAGTAATGTGATTAGGTACAATATATTGTAAAGTATTGAATAAGTAAATTTTGTGAGTAAAGTAAGTATATTTGTGACGTAAAGTAATGTGAATAGGGATGTTGTTCAGCAATACGAGTAGGTATGTTACTGAGTAATGTAAGAAAGTATATTGTTAAATAATGTGAAAATATGTAAAGTGATGTGAGTAAACTTATCAAACAACTGCAACAGTTACCACAGTCATGAAATAATAAAGACGTGTATGTTGAATACTAGTTAGTGTGTGCATGATTGCATTAAATATCTCCAGTGTCTGTGTTGGTTGCTAATTGACACTTGTTGTTGTTGTAATTGCAGGTTAAGTTGGAGCGAGTGTTGGGGTTGACTGTGCCCAGCAATGCTGCTCTTGACTGTGACCCTCACACTGGACACGTCGCCTACCCTGCTGGGTGAGTACTTCACACTTCATCTTCTCTTAGATAACTTCCTGTGGGTGAGTACCCTACACTTCATCTCTATGATAACCTTTCCTTAGCACTGTTGGGGTGAGTACCCCACGCTTCACCTTCTGTATGATAACCTTTCCCTAGCACTGGTGGGTGAATGTCCCACACTTCACCTTCTTTATGATAACTTTTCCCTGGCACAGCTGGATGAGTACCCCAAATTTTGACAACCTAAGCTCACACTTCCACAAGGGAGTGCATTTGAGGTTCCTGTCTCATTTCTCTCTCTCCTTTCCTTCCTTTTGTCTACGACTCATCATCCACATTCACAATAGAACCAGGAAGTTTTTCTTTTATTAATCCTTCGCTCATGATCACTTACATAACTAATATTAATTTTTACATTAGTTCATAGCATGTTCATGTATTCCCCGCCTTGGCTTCTTGGAATTCCATACTTATGAAATAAAACACTGGAACGGGCGTTAAGTGTACTGTACGCCGAAGAAAATCTAAAGTTAGGTGAAATTCCTAAGGTCAAAAACAAGAATTGAAGATATAGCTCCACTTGCTAAAGATGCAGCATAACGATGTCTAGAAGCTAGAGGCTAGTCGCATTAATGTTACACATCATAAATATTTTTGAGAGGATGGTATGGAACGGCACGAACTTTATAGCCAAGGTTAACATGTATTCCCATCATAACTAGTTAATTACTGTTTTAAATTTACAGACCCATTTGGAGAAAATAAAAAGGCAGATGTTAAATACATTGACTTTGCAACGTTATTTGACACAGCCATGGAGTAATAGCCTGGAAAGTGAGGTCAAAAGATATAACAGATGAAGTAGGGGAAATAAGTTATAAAATATCTAAACTCACGAACAACACAAAATCCAGTTTGAGCAAAGTAAGAAAGTTTAGTACTGCAAGGCATGGTCCTGATCCCTTTACTATTTTTTCCTCATAGAAGACATAAAAACACTAACTGCAGTTTCGTATTAGATTTTGAGGACCATATTGAAATCTGCAGGAAATTTGCCTCGGCAAAAAACTGAAAAACTGCATTGAGATACAAGAGAGTCAACCACGTGGGCAAAGTAAAAGATAATCAACGGTGACAAATTCCAGCTACTTCAACACTGAAAGAACGAACCATATAAATAACGCAGTCTTTATTTTCGTAGAACAGTGGGAACTAGCTAAAAAACCTAGAGAGGGTAACATCAGGCGAACTTAACGATTAGAAAACACGTTAAAACAAATGCAGCCAGCGTATAAAAGGGCCTTCCCGAGGCGTTCAAAATACTAGAAGACAGTAAAGACAGCAGCTTAGGATGTGTCATAGTTGGTGTAGATCATGTTGGCTTACATGCTTGTGATTAATTTGGGTGAATTAGGCGAGCATGTGTGCCCATCTTGGCCGCTCATCACTATTGCAAGAGTTAGTGGCGCAAGACGGGGTAGAAACGGTAGATGAAGCAGGCCAAGGCTTCCTCTCCAGAATTAAGTGCAACTCTTCATTTTTTAGATCAAATTTCATTGGCGGTAATTTTTTTTCTTTTTTAGCATGTCTATGCATGTTACAGCTAACACAAAACATGTTCATAAAAGTTTAGATTTTTGTCATTTTGACTTGATTAAAGTTATGTTTCATATTTTTAAACGTTACCCGTATGTTATAAAATAGATTATCATAACCGCCGCGTGAAGCCTCAATATTTCGTGCATCTTACATGCAGCACAAAATTCAAAGGTGTATCTTGATAAATATTGACGCTGGTAGCTAGTCTCCAAGGGCCGTGGTGAAGACGGGACTAGCGTGTAGCCGTCTGAGGGATGAACAGTTTCATGTTTTTTGTTATAATGAGAACTGAGACACTATGTTCTGTATGTGGTGTAAACCCTCCCCCTTCCCCTCTCTCGCTCTCTCTCAACCAGGCCTTTCACATAAACCTAGAAAGCCAAAGAAATCCGTCAATCATGGAGATTTCAGCCTCCGAATTTGCAGTGGGTGATGATAGACAACTACATTCTACCACAAAAAACTGTTAGAACTAGCTACATCATATCGCATTCACGTCAGTTCGCTGAGAAATTGATATATAGTAATATTTATGAGATAAAAGTAGAAATAATGTTTCCTATGGGATCTTAGTAAACAAGGAGGAACTTGCCAGGAACAAGCGAGCATAAATTCATGTGTGTCGGCCGAAACAAATATCCGATATGAGGGAATGCTTAGGTAGTTTTTCCTTCAACAATCGAGGTATTCCTGGGACAGAATAAACTAGAAACGGTGTGTAGCATAAAAATGAGAGGTAAAAAGATATAACAGGTAAAGTAGGGGAAACCTCATGATGATAAAAGCAGATAAAAATATAGGGAATTCCATTTGAAACAAAAAAGTTGTCCTGGCACCTTTACTGTTCATCTTCATAGCAGACTTGGACAAAAGCACCAACTACAGCCTCGTATCTTTTACGGTCGTTACCACAATATGGATAAAACTTGCTTTAGTAGAAGACGACTGCTTTGTTACGGAAACAACGAAAAAATTACCACGGGATTAAAGAACACAGCCAAATGAGGCCAAGGACAATAAATTACAAGTTTGATTTTGAGAATTTTGAAAATAAGAAAGGTCATGCTATTGACTGTAATATTCAAAGCATTTGTGTTCACACGGCAGGGAGGTTTTTCTAGGTTGGAAAATGGACCTTAAGTGCGCAGTGTGGAAAATTTTGGATTTTCCTAGATTCAGCATGTGTAAATTTGAATAATACAATAATTGTGCAATAAAATATGATGCTGATTTGACGCTTTCGAGAAATTTCGAGTGGGGGGGGGGGGTAAAAAGCTGCTGAGTGACGCCCAGAGGGAGACGCCATATTGAATTTAATGGGTGAACACTGGACTGCATGGTACATTGTAATTCGGCGTTTTCCGAGGCCATTGGGGTGTTTCGGCCCGAATTTGTATTAGGAAAATGTGTTATGTCCCCTGCTGAAGAATTGGGACAGGTAATTTGTGGGACCTTAAGAATTATATGTGGATGGCAGAAGATACGAGATGCAAACATCACTCATAGGGAAGTACACCAGTAGCCCTTGCATTTAGAGCTCTATCTGGCCGGTGTAGGGTCTAGGTGTTAGGCAAGTGATGTGGTGTGATCCATCTAGCATGATTTTAGCTGAACCATTATGACAGAATTACTGAGGCATTAGAAGACAACCAAAAGCAGATGTGATTTACACAAATTTTGCAAAGGCGTTTGGCAGATGCGATCATGGAGTGATAGCGCACAAAATGAGGTCCTTGGGCATTACGGTGAAGGTAGGCAGATGGATTTTTGGGCTCCTAACGCACAGAACACAAAAAGTAGTAGTGAACAGGGCAAGATCCAGCATCAGCGAGGTCAAAAGCTCAGTGCCCCAAGGCACTGTCCTGGCACCTCTGCTGTTTCTCATCCACACAGCAGACTTAGATAAAAACACCCGACACACTTTTGTATCATTATTTGCAGATGACACTAAAATAAGCATGGAAGTCACTACGGTAGAAGACACTGAAAAATTACAGTTAGACGAAAGCAGGGTTTTCCAGTGGGCAGTGGAGAACAACATGACGTTCACTGGTGATAAGTTCCAGCTGCTTAGGTATGGAAAAAATTAACTCAAAAGGAACACTGTATACAAAACTCAACAGGGTCACCAAATACCTGAGAATAATTATGTCAGCTGACCTTTCTTTTAAAGACCATAACAAGACAAAGATCACGACAGCCAGGAAGATGACGGGGTGGGTATCGAGAACTTTCAAAACAAGGGAAATAATGCCGATAGTGACACTTCAAATCGCTAGTGCTCCCTCGCTTAGAACATTGCTTAGTGCTGACGGCCCCGTTCAAAGCAGGAGAAATATCAGAACTGGAACAAAGAGAGATCATTTACGGCTCACTTTGAGCCTGTAAAGCACCTAAACTACTGGGAACGAATGCAAGTCTTGAATATGTATTCAGTGGAGCGGAGGAGAGATACATGATAATATATACCTGGAAAGTACTCGAGGGCTTGGTCCTAAATCTGCACACTGCCATGACAACATAATGGAGTGAGAGATATGGGAGGAAATGTAAAATAAACCCAGTGAGGAGCAGGGGTGCGGTAAGGACAATAAGGGAGCACTGTATTAACATCCGGGGCCCCAGACTATTCAACGTCTTACCAGAAAATATCAGAAACACTGCTGGGACAAGTGTAGAAGCCTTCAAGAGGAAACTGGACAAGTATCTTTACCAGGTGCCAGATCAACCAGGCTGTGATGGATATGTGGGGCAGTGGGCCTCCAGCAGCAACAGCCTGGTTGACCAGGCAAGCAGCAGACGAGCCTGGCCCATGGCTGGGCTCCGAGAGTAGATTAACTCTCGAAACTCTTCAAAGGCATATCAAAGGTAAAGGTATATCTACAGTAATCAAATTGTAAGTAGTAATACAAAGTTCTTTTTAATAACACTTTTGTATATGTAATGTACTAATAATTATATTTTTGTGTACCCAGCAAGTAAACCAAAATAACGTGCAGTTCATATAACTTTAATTACCAGAGTAGCTGGTTTTAATTTTATAATTATTAATTTAATGTCAAGTCTAGCTTTTTGTGGGAGTGGTGAAGAAGTGGGCAGTCGAGGGAGTAACAGTTCAGTGACTTGTGACAAAGTCCCACTTACCTCACCCAAATTACTTGCAGGCAATAATAATTCAGGTAATACCCTGTAAGTCTCCTGCAGGTGGTTTGCCCATATAATATAATAATAATAATAATAATAATAATAATAATAATAATAATAATAATAATAATAATTTTCACACGCAGTTAAGTAAAACTTCTAAATTACAGGGAATACTTCAAAGCATTTGGCATGTGCTCTCTGGAAGGGGGAAAAGAGAAATGCCTCATAATATATATGATAATCTATAACTTCCAAAACCGCTTACTGAA